GGGCCAGAGGAGAAGTGGGGCAGGGCCAGAGAAGAGGAGGGGCCAGAAAAGAGGTGGGGCGTGGCCAGAGAAGAGGAGGGGCCAGAGGAGAAGTGGGGCAGGGCCAGAGAAGAGGAGGGGCCAGAGGAGAGGTGGGGCAGGGCCAGAGAAGAGGAGGGGCCAGAGGAGAGGTGGGGCGTGGCCAGAGAAGAGGAGGGGCCAGAGGAGAAGTGGGGCGTGGCCAGAGAAGAGGAGGGGCCAGAGGAGAGGTGGGGCAGGGCCAGAGAAGAGGAGGGGCCAGAGGAGAGGTGGGGCGGGGCCAGAGAAGAGGAGGGGCCAGAGGAGAAGTGGGGCAGGGCCAGAGAAGAGGAGGGGCCACAGGTCAGTTGGGGCAGGGCCAGAGGTGAGGCAGGGTGGGACCAGAGGTCAGTTGAGGCAGGGCTAGAGGAGAGGTGGGCGGGGCTGGAGGTGAGTTTGGGCGGGGCCAGAGATCAGCTGGGGTGGGGCCAGAGGAGAAGTGAGTTTGGGCGGGGCCAGAGGTCAGCAGGGGCGGGGCGGAGGAGGCGTCAGGGGGCAGGGAAGGCCAGACTCACGCTGCCGTCCGTGGGGTTGATGGTGTCATAGGTCTGGCCTCCCTCGGCATCCACGAACGTCCCCCCGATGAAGAGCTGGTGGGGCATGCGGAGTTCCAGCTTTTTCACCGATTTTTCCACCTGGGGTGACAGCCAAGTGACAAAGAGGCGTGAGGAGCACAGATTCCCAGAGAGACTGCGTGGGCTGGAGTCCCTGCTCTGCCCCTTCCTCCTTGTGTGACCTCGAGCTGCTGACCCAACCTCCTCCAAGGACATAGGGGGATTCGCAGCGGGTCGGGAGTGTCACAGGTGGCGAGGCCCTTTAAACCAGGGGACACGTGCCACCCAGCACCCTGCCACCCACTTCTGTGCGCATCCAAAATTCCATGCGGAACACAGGAATCCCTGGGACCCCTTCCCCCTCCTGCAATCTGTCATTTATTCACTCTTCCTAGGACAACCTGGGGTCCACCCTGGCCACCTGTCTCTTCTTCACCAGCTTTTGTTTCAAACCACCAGCCAAACAAACTACCCCCAAAGCCCATTCCTTCAAGAGAGGGCAGTTCCCCCAGATCGGTGCTGAATCTACAGGATGAACTTGTCCCTGCTGGGAACTCAACCTGGTCTCGCATCTTGGGAGACCCAATGTGACCCTCCCACTGAGCATCTGACAGCGAGATACAGTCGAGTTTGCCCTTTGGCTCTGACACCCCTAGGTGCCAGGCAGAGCTTGGGAAAGTGAAAACTGGGCTCCCGACTTCCTGAACACCCAGGGGCCCGACTCACGTAGTCGATGTCACTGTCACCCTCGTCGTCCTCCCCGCGCAACTTCCTGACTAGCAGCTGGATGAAGTCCCCAAAGGCGGTTGCCATGTACACATCCTCGTTCTCCAGCTCCAACCCGTCACACAGCTCTCTCACCTCCTCCACCAGCCTGCAGCAAGGGGGGGTGGAGAAACGGGGGCCCAGGATCAGGAGCCCCTCGCCCGCTGCACCCGGGGCCTGCAAGTCTAAATCCACCTCCTCTGATCTGGCCTGGGTCCCAGCACCCTGTAGTGGTCAGCAGCTCAGGACCCAGGCCCAGGGCCCAGGCTGCGGTGGACCCAGCAGGCCTTGGTTGCAAACTCATGGGCCATCCGAAAAACCCCCCATGCCATCTCAAGGGGACGTGAGCGATCCAAATAATCAAAAAAAAAAAAAAAAAAAAAAAAAAAAACCTTGAAAAGGCACAAAGTCGTAGAACTCAACCTTTCTGATTTAAAAGTTCACTACCAAACTAAAATAATCAAGTAGGAATAAAAGCAGTCATCCTCAGCCAACGAGCACAACCCAGAGCCCAAGAATAAACCTACTCGGGTGAGGTCAACTGATCTTTTGGCAAGAACACCAAGATACACAAAGAGAAAATGATAACGTTTTCAGCAAATGCTGTTGGAAAAATTGGATGTCCCCGTGCACAAGAATTCAACTAGATCTTTGTTTACTACACATAAAAATGAGAAAGTAACGCAGCATCCACATGTCAGAGAGAGCATTCCGCCTTTGGTTTTTTTGGGGACTGGCTTATTTCACTTAGCACGATAGTCTCCAGCTTCATCCATTTACCAGCAAATGCCATCATCTCATTCTTCTTTAGGGCTGAGTAATATTCCACGGTGTATGTGTACCACGGTTTCTTTATCCACCCATCTGTTGAAGGGCACCTAGGTTGGGTTCCCTAGCTTAGCTATGGTGAGTTGAGCTGCTATAAACACTGATGTGACTGTGTCCCTGTAATATGCTGAGTCCTTTGGGTATAAAACAGAGGAGTGGGATAACTGGGTCTGATGGTGGTTCCACTTCAAGTTCTTTGAGGACTCTCCGCCCTGCTCCGCAGAGGGGTTGGCAGTCCTACAGTGTGGACTCCTTTTTGCAAACAAAGGTAGACTAATACCTCCTTCTCCTTCCCTCCACACAGATCAGAATTTACCACCATTGGGTAGTAAGTGGGACCCTTCCTACATGGTTGAAGGACAGGTAGATGAATCTAAGGTGACAGACTGCCTGTGGGTTGGGGCAGGGGACATCTAGAACAATGTAACCCATGCCTTTGTGTCTTGATTAAAACTTACACACATTAAATCAAGGCTTGCCAAACTGACCACTTAAGATCCATAAATTTTACTGTATTTCCCATTATTCTTGGCAGGGGGTGGTCCTGGGGATTGAACTCAGGGGCACTCAACCTCTGAGCCCCGTCCCCAGCCCTATTTTGTGTTTTATTTACAGACAGGGTCTCACTGACTTGCTGAGGGCCTCACTAAATTGTTGAGGCTGGCCTCCAACTTGTGATCCTCCTGCCTCAGACTCCTGAGCCGCTGGCTGCATTTCCATTTTAAAACACTGTGTATACGGTTCCCTCAGCCCTCTAACCTGCACCCCCATACACAGCAAGAGACCCCCAGAGGTGAGAGGCTCGTCCCAGCGATACAGACACACAGTTTTCTATGTGTCTCCCATTGGGGGTGAGTCCCAGCCCCACAACCTGACCCCAGCTTGCTGGGACCAGTACCCCCAATGGCTGGTGCCTTGTCCGAATGACCCGTGGGTCTAATGAGCCGTGGCTGCTTCTTGGGTCTGGTTCCTCAGAACCCACAGGGTCTACAAGTCCTGGGTGGGACCCCCGTTACCTCACCACGTCCACTGAGGCGGCCCCCGACTTGAAGAAATCCGTGGAATCGTCCACCTCTGAGACTCTGGGGAGGATCCGTTTCCAAGCACTCTGAGAACACAAAGGCAGTGTGAGGAGGTAGGTGGCCCTGGTGGCCCTGGGACCAGCCGGCCCTGGGTGTGCCTGGATGTGCCTGAGAGCCCGGCTGTCCACTCCAAGGCGCTGTCCCTTCCCGAGGAGCCTGGTGGCCTGGGGTGACCACCTCTTGGGACTGTGAGATAGTGAGTCTCTTGGAGCATCAGAGGCCCAGATGGCCAAATCCCAGGGCCCCCATTGCAAAGGAAGGAGCGGCAAAGAGACTTCAGAGAGTTCCAAGATCAGAGAGCACCAACACTGCCCCTGAGGCCGGTTCACAGGGAAAGGGACTCACCAAACACTTGTGCAGTAGACAACCTGCCCAACCGGCCTGCACCCCAGAAGGTGTCTCTTACCCGCACAGCCTCGGCAGTGACCAGCTCTGCCTCCGTCAGCTCCAGGGCACTGCTGGCTGCTCCTTTGAAGAACTGCGAGGCCGGGATCATCTTACCATCCTCAAACTGGATGTTCTTCACCAGCAGCTACAAAAGATAGGGCACACGCCTATCATCCCAGCCGTTCAGGAGGCTGAGGCAGGAGGATCGCAAGTTGGAGGCCAGCCTCAGCAATTTAAGTGAGGCCCTGAGCAACTCAGCGAGACCTAAATAAAATATAAAAGGGGCTGGGGATGGGGCTCAGGAGTTAAGTGCCCCTGGGTTCAATCCCCAGTACCAATAATAATAAATAATAATAATAATAATAATAATAATAATAGAACACAGGGCCCCACTTTGGGTGGCTTATACTCAGGGTCACGCCCCAGGCCAGGGACTAGCGTGGGCTTTCCCTCCTGAGTCTCATTTCTCCCCGTCTTTGCCAGATCCTTGTGCAGTAGACAACCTGCCCAACCTGAGGTCTTCCCGTGGGATCTGATCTGAGCCCAAGGATTGGGTACATGGAGCCAAGGGGGGAGTGGGTCTGGGACCTCCAGCGTGGGCAAGCGCCATTACCATTCTGTCATCATTCCCGAAGAGAATGAGTCCCGCCTTGGTGACCAGGCCTGGCCGATGGGCCCCAGGGATGTCCAAAACTTCCCCCTCAGGGACCAAGCCGGAGGTGTTCAATGTTGAGTTGAAAAAGGTCAATGTCTGTCAGGGGGGAAAAATCCAGAAGCAGGTGAATGAGAAGAGTCCTGGCCACTGACCTGTGGCTGACCTCAGACCTGAGTGCACAGAAGCCAAGGGAAATGTGCTCAGAAGTGAGGCCACTAGCCCTAGAGATGCCACCAAGCACCGGTCACTTGAGAAAGGAGATGCATTTGCCAGTACACAGGGTTCCATCCTAGTGCCGGAGGTAGACAGCCTTCTGGACACGTCTGGGCACTTGGTTGGGGCTCAGGAGTGTGGACAGTGAGGGTTGTGTGGACCAAGAGTTTGGACAAAGACCCCCACACACATGGTCTTGCTGTCCTGGTGACTCTAGAGCCCAGGAACCCCAGGGCACCCCAACTTCAGCATCTGGCTCGCCCCTGCCTGGTCCCTCATCCAGAGGATGTGGTCCCATCCCTGCCCAGGGCCATGTTGAAGTCATAGCTGGGGCCTGAGGTGGCCCCATGGGTGGAAGTCAAAATTTTATACCCAGCACAACTGGACAACATACTGGTGGTAGGTGCCCGGAGGCCTCTGGAGATGCCCGAGACCTCCCTTTTAGCTCCTGGGGGGTGGATAGGTCTCTCAGTTCCAGGGAGGAGACAAGAGGTCAGGGGCATTTGGGTGGGGGTGGTCAGGGTGGGTGCTATGGACCATGCATTGGGCTGGTCAATCCACGGGGCACACCGGGGATCCAGGCAGGTTCCAGTCACACACAAACACACCTGTCCACAGGCCTCTGTCCAGGCACCGGGCACCTTGTCATTCCCACGGATCCAATTGTGAATGGCCTCGGCGGGCTGGTCCCAGTTGATCTGGAGGGGGGCAGGACGTGCATGTGCTGCTGGTCTCTCTCCAGCGCCCTTCCTGCCCCATGGCTGCTGGACACTGACCAAGCCCTGGTGAGGAGTTCTGATTTCCTCTCGGGTGCTGGTCTGAGTGCTTCTGGTTCTGGGGGCTCCCTGAGACCCTCAGTCCCTCACAGGGGTGGACTGAGCCATTCAAGATGGCTTCCGGAGGCGCCCAGTTTGCCAAGATGGCGGAGGCCCCCCAAGGAGTCCAGAGCACCCCGGAGAGTCCAGTCCACAGCTTCTCCTCGCCTGGGGGCCCACGTGGCCCTCTGTCCAGCTCTGCACAGTCCCCAGGCAGAGGCACGGCCCACAGACCCCCCTGAGGACCTTCCCATTGGTTGTGGCTCCAGGGAACTGAGTATCTCTCAGGCCTCACTAGGGAGACTTGCAGCATCAAGGGGACATTTCCCTCCACCCCCAGCTGGTGTCCCTAGATGGAGCCTTGCCTGTAGACCATGCACCTGCAGACTTGGGGCGAGGACGACCCAGAACCTACCCTAGCTGTTTCTTTCTTCTGAATGCCTTCGTAGGAGGCTCCTTCCTCGGGCTGAGGGAGTCTGGGGGCTTTGCCCTCGGCGATCAACCTCACGGCTTGCACCTGGGGAGACCCCTGCATCAGCACCCCTCTGCAGGAGGGCTCTCTCCTCCCAGCCTTTAGGGGTGTTAGTGTGACAGGAACTCCGTGGCGTGCAAGGGGCACCAATCCACCAGCTCCCCCACTCAGGGGTTTTAGATCCTAGAGAAGGTCTTCCATCTGCGGAGATCTCAGAAGGTTCTAGAAACTGTGCATCTCTGCACAGAGATACCGCACACAAAGGTTTCCATGTTGCCGTCTAAGACCCTCTCTGCTTTCTAAGGAGGATGGGTTCTGAGTGCCAAGGTGGACTTGGAGGTCCAGGTTTGAGAGTCTGAGATGAAAAGTTTCTTTGTGAAAGGAAAGAGGAAGGGGTTGGGGAAGAATCAGAGAAGGTGTGTGGGGGGGT